GGCGCCGACCGGCAGCGGCAGATCCCTGATATTAAGACATAATGTACCTGTACCACAGGGAGGGTGAAGGCAGGATCTTACATGTACCTCAGGTGGATGTAAAAGTGGAGCAAATATGTCTTAGAGGATTTGCGGCAAAATTCACTTGAGTTGAAGTACGTGTATGTGAAATTTCTGCAAAGTCGCAGCTGGAATACATGTACCGTATTTGATTTAACGTCACAGGTTTACACGCATGTTCAGTTTCGTGCCAAGTGCGTATGAACCAGCCTTTGGTCTTCTAGAGGGCTGGTACATGTAAACACATTGTCCTCAGGTTGCCTGTCTTTGGTTTAGTTTTCAGTTTGTTTGCATGTACTTCACCCCCCTCCCCATTTTACGACCCCTCCATGCAAAATCAGAGGTTCCAATCCATGAATTCCACAAAGAAACAGTAGCCATGCCTGACAGAGAAGTCCATCACTCGGGACACACTGCTTGCAATGGTTTTTGGATGAGTACATGTACATGTATGAGAAGATCATGGAAGTTGAACGTCCGACGTTTAGTATTTACAAAGACCTGATTTCGCAAACCTGGTGCATTGGGTTTTTAAATCTTCTCACAGTCTCAACACATATTTGTCACAGCTGAGTGGGCTCCACTTGTGCATGGAGCAGATACATGTAAAATGGGCATTTTCAGTTTTTTAACATTATATACCGTACAGTATGTGTAAGTCTCTGCCATACGTGTACATATGTACACGTACCTTTCATTCATTCAGCATGGGTGGTTTTCAAAGGATCTCCTGGCAGCGCCTTTTGATAATATACATGTACTTGTTGCTGTACAATGCTTCCAGACCCTGAGATAGGTGAAAAACCAGAGATAAAAGCCTCAAAAGAAACACTTGCAAAAAAATTGTGGAAAATTCCTGTCTCACCCTCATGAAAGCGATCGGGCATTAAACCATACAACGAGCCCCAGGATCTCAAATATTCAACATGAATACGTGAAGTGAATATAGGAAGTGAAAGAATACTGTAGGAATCTCCAAAATGAAAAAAAAGTGAATAGTGTAGCGTGGTGACTGTGAATACGAACACTCAGCATTCCAACCCATATATAACCACTCCTGGCAATTTGCGTTAGAGTGCAATGCGTTACATAACACCTGTGGCTCCATGCCACAACATGCAGTGTACAATGAGATAGTAATTCTCTTTCTGTATGCATGCCAAGAGAATTTGCAGTTAACTGAGATTTAAAGGACCTTTTCCATTGATCTGCACTTTGAATATCTTCATCAATGTCATCACTAAACTGTGCAAGAGAGATGGTTCCTTGATTACATGACATTGCCATTAGTTAACTTTTTCTGTATGCAATACCAGGTTGAAGATGTGGCTCCAGCAAGAGATTCTTGGATGACCGAACTTCCAGAGTTCTCCAAAAACTTTGGCCTGGGCCCCCGGACCTTCCGCAAGTCTGCACGCCCAGATGAGCAGGACCGGTCAGGTTGGACCGAAACCCCAGCTGACAGGGCGCGGAAGCACCAGGTACACGAACTGTGATAACATTGTGGTATCAGACCACATGGTTACAATTCTGTCTTAACCTTCCTCAATCCTAAATCTACCAGGTTTTTTAAGGATTTGTTGGAATGGGTAGGGCGGATGTTGGTCACCATTTCTGTACTTTAAGTTGAAAGCCCTTTGACAAAGGAAACTTGGGTTTAAAAGTAAGATTAACTTGTTTACAAACACTTCAAAAATTGGGACCAACAGCAGTTGTGGCACAGTGTCACTGAAAATTGCATTCCCATGCTCATGTGCATACATTTATATTCAGGTACATGTAATAGGGTTTTTATTCTGTGGTAAGTGAATTGTTTTTAAATCAGAAATAGCGTGGGTGGGTCAAAAAAATTTGGAAAAAAGTTGAAATTTAAAAACACTGAAAATTTTCAGTCGGCCCATTTCTTTTTCAGTGTCCCCATTTCCCATAGAGGGTTCAACACTGCAGTAGAAAGGAAATCATAATTTCTGGTCTGCGCTGGGCATTGTTGACACTTCAGTATTTTTTTAAAAGTGCACAGCCGCACATGACCTGTAGCCCCCACCCCTACATACTGAGCATACTCAGTTGCCATTGGTAAAATGTTCCAGAGTATATGCAGCTTATTTGCAGTTGGACCAGGCCAAGTTTCAGCTGAACAAGTCATATCCTTCAAAACCTTCACTGACAGCTCCATCACCAGTAAATGGCCAAGTAGTGTAATATACAGTGTATTTGGGTGAAAAAAATGCTAGTAAAGAAACGTCAATCTTTTTAACATGAAATCATCACTGTGCTTACATCAGGAGAGAATGGAGAAGGCTGCAGCTCAGATGCTAGCTTCATCTTCCTCCAAGGACGTTAAGGAGAAAAAACAGAAGAAGGAGGGACGAGGGGAGAAAAAATCAGAGCGAGACAAGAGGCTTGCCCAACAGGTTGCCCAGCACAATCAGACCACAAGGCCAGAGTCTCTCATGGAGATGCACACCAAGAGCAGAAAGCGGAAATTGGTGAGTTGATCTTTGTTTTGCCATCAGCTGTTGTCAGATGTGCCTTGTGGGGCATCCACATTGTCACATCCCTTGATTGGAAGGGTCACTGGTGGCTAGATTGTCCTCTGATTATTTTTGTGTTGCACGGTACTGAAGTTACAAGTAGACACGTCACCACTATCTCCACAGTGTAACTGTTAACATAGCTTCTCTTTAATTGAAAGTGGCGCTTAAAAAATTGAGTGGGGTTTCTCTCGCCAGTTACAAAATGATGCCCTTGGCATTTTGTTGAAAACCTTTCCTCATAAACACACAATACATGAATACACAAATGTGTAGTATCTGCAAACTAGCATCAAACCTAATATTAATGGGCTCTTGACCAATAGGAAGCAGTACATTGAGGTATTTTTCAATGAATCAATAAGGTGGTTTTCTACTTTACATGTCTGCAGGCAGAGGGAGGATTGAAGGAGCAAGAGCGACGGCCATTTGACCGTGAGACCGACCTCCAGGTCAACCGATTTGATGAAGCCAGACGAAAACAGCTCCTGAAGAAGTCAGCCAATCTTGGAGACAAGTTTTCTCACAGTAACGAGAAGATGTACCTTTAGGAGAATAAAGGTGCGATTATCATTATTCTTCTATCTGTTTAGACCGAACACTGGAAATTGATTGAAATACTGCTTCTTAATACTAGGCCCTTTTTGCTAGGGACCCTCCTCAATCCTCCAAAATCCTCCAATGTGGGGGAGGGTAAAAAAATTGGATTCTCCCTCAATCCTTTGAAATCCTCCGAAATTTCTTGGAAATGTTACCAGGAGGTGTGCCTACTGCCTCAATCTGTCAAAAATCCTCTGGCAATTCCTGTCATTACATGTTGAGACAGTGCAAATGGCATTCTTGAGCAGTGCGGTTGTTTCAAAAGAAATATTGGGCTGAATTTATGCATGGCTGAGCCCAAACAACACATGGTCTAAGCCCTGACCTGCACACATGGCATCCTTTGCAATCAGCCATGCCTTTTTTCTATTCACCCTCAATCCTCCAAATTCCTCCAAAACTTCCCACAGGATTTTGGAGGATTGGGGAGGGTTAGGGTTTTAAAAGAGATATAACACTGTATGTTTTATTGGTTTGTTACTACGTCCTTAATTCTTCATAAACATTGCCAATGTCAATTTTTTTCAGTGAAAAAAGTTTTCAGTGGCAGTCTTTAATTTGTGAAACTTATTGCGTATTTGATTTCTTCTTTGACATGAATGGCAGATTATGATATGCATTGACATGATTGTATCTGTATTCATGTAAAGAAAATTACTTAATTTTAAGATGTGAATTTGAATTCTGAAAGGTTTCTAAGGAGTGTTTTATTTTTTCCACACCTAATTATTCGCTAACTGACACTAACTGATTCACTACGGCTGAAAAGTCTTTAAGGACATTAGATGTGATGCTATACATGTATGTACACAGCCCAATGGTATTTATCACATGAAGAGGCATAAATGATGAACAAAAGACTGGCAGGAAAACCAACAGTTGACGGCGGACAATCTGTTGATGGCCATGTTATCAACACTTTGCCAGAATCATAGAGTCTCTTGAACCAAACTGTTGCATTTGCTTGTACCCAGTCTTCTACATGCACGAGCAGTACATTTATGGTGTGCGCCGCTATCTGTACAAATGTGTGTTAGTACATGTACATTTACAGGTACAATATGTCAACTCGGGGCAGGTTCCAGCAACGAATGATTGATGCCATCTAACCGTGATGTAGCTAACAGTGTTCTACGTACATGTAAGCCCTGTTACCATGGTGACACTGGTAATTAATGCCCTCTTGAGGGATTGATGAGATGGCAGAGATCACAAAGGCATATACAGAGACGTACAGCCCGTGGCAAAAAGTGAATACAAGTAATAGCAATTCAAGTGTGGGTATATTGTGCTTGCATAGTGGCAATATTCTAAAAAACAATCGACCTTTGCACCAATAAATTCACATACATGTACATGTAGTTATGAGCACAACTGGCCATAGAGGCCATCAATTTCCTATTGATGGTATGGAAGGGTGCAGACTTTAATGTCCTTCTCTCTTGAGTACTCAAGAAATTTCCACCTTTCTCTTCAGAAAACGCGATGCTATGCTATGAGCATGTACTGCTTTCGGATCTACGTTTTGTTTTTTTTTTACCCGTACATTAGACTTCAAAAATTGTTTTCATCCTCGGTTATTAATTTGTTATTATGGATTATTATTACAAAGCATCAATTCATTGTTCCGGATTGTTTGATTCATTGTTACAGAGTATTAATTTCTTATTAGAGGTTACTCATAATGGTATTCAGAAAGTTCATGTGTCTTATCCTATCCTATCAAGTGTTGTTGCCTTTTCTCAAGCACTTTACTTCATGTATGAGATGGCCACTCTAGCCTGAGGAGTATTCTGACACGTCTGATGTGCCTTGTTTGTTAATCTTTCTAATTTCTAATAAGTGGCAGCTGGATATGGAATTCTTGGTGAGAAATGCCTGTTAGTGTTTCTTCACCGAAGTCCCATACCAGTGTGTTAAAGACATGCTCTGAAAATCCGGGAGTTGTTTCCTGACTCTTCTGGAGTTGTGTGACAAGTGCTGTATCATGCTTGAGTGTCCTTGAATGAACAACACAAGGGCCGAATCTATTCAACAAATGCTGGATCTTGTCCGAACCACGAAGATGGCGTATTGTCACGCTAAATGCAACATGTTTTGACATGAGTTTCCTTCTAAGGGAGGACAAACTGATCATGTCTTGGGCAATGGAAGTGACCTTTTTCATGCTGTCATTTTTCAGAGCAACTTCCTCTGTTGAGAAGCCCTCTGCTGTGCCAGTGCACAATGCCAGGAAATTTAGAAGTTCCACTGGGGCCATGTTCATACAGTTGTTTTAAGTCAGACTGGCTGTTGTTGGGGGCCAGTCAGTCAACCCCCGGAACAACATTCATACAGATCCTATACAAAGCACAATAATGAAGCTGATTCAACATCCGGAGTGTTCGAAATATAGCACTAGGGAATGTCTATAACGTCGTCAGCATCTCGCCACTCGTCAAACTTTGAAGAGTTCTAGTCTTCATCAAGATAATGGACTTTCACTAAAGACTGTCGATCTATTGTCTTTGTGTCAATTAAATTAAGTTCAAAAAAATTGCCTGCTGGCCAAGTCTGTTGCGTATGAATATGATGATCTTTGGGCACATCCGCTCCACAGTTCAGGAGTTTGTAGTCGACTGGCTTACGCAATCTCCCACTTCTTCTCACACTGCCACCAGCCATTAATTCTGTTTTAAATGTGTTGACAGTGAAATAGCGTGTTAAATATGCATGCCTAGGGGCCTCCTCAGTTGAAAATACCTCCTCAGTTGAAAATAAAAGAAACAAATCACAAAAACAAACTGTTTTCTAGCCATGTTTGCCCATATTTAACATGTTAAATTTCAGGCCTGATGCGATTTCTCTTGTCTGGTTAATACAAAACTGTTCAATTAGGCCTCCACAAATTTTGTGCATGTAATTGTAAAAATACACAAACTGCGTCATTTGTCCCTAGGCCACTTGCCTTAGTAGCAAATAGCATGTTTTTTATTCCTCCATGGTCTAGCCTAGGCCCAGCTTTTTAAAATTCTTTTCAAACATGTCATTATTGTTGAGGCTTCCTTCAATGATTCATGCCATGGGCTTATTGTACTAGGTCTACATGTATAGGCATGTAGGTATGTAGGCCTAGGCCTACATGTAGTTTGAAACATGGTACATGTACCAATACAAAGAACAGTACATAGAACAATTCTTACCATGTTTGTGGAGTAAAATACGCAGTCAGTCCAGTCGTACCCAATCATGTACACAATACTAGGCTGCAAAGTGGAAACACAAACACCCCTGTCAATACAATGCAGTGATCCAGCCAAGACACAAGACACCTTGGAAATACATCCAATCCGATGTAATCTGAGTTGTAAAAATGGCACATGTTTAATCCAGAGGATTCTAAATTTCAAAACGATGCCTTGGGTAAAAATACTTACGTTCTAAAACAGCAAAACCAGCTTTACAAGGGAAATGAAGCTGACATTCTTCATAAAAATTCTCGGTTCAGTAGTAATTCGCGCGGATTTGACCTGTCTTGTTTCTGCCTTGCCGATGTAATGCATATTGTGCAAAAACAGATCATAGTCCAGACTATTAAGGAGAAGGAAGGTTATACTCACCAACACAGGCTTTGTGATTTGACACAAAAAGTGCCCCTCTTTCTGGTCTACCAATCGAAACACGTTACATGGATGGAAAGCTTAACTCATCTAGTTTCCTAAATTGCGCGATCTAGATTGCTGCGAGCTTGCTAGCGAGTTTGCCGTTCAATTAAGTGGGACGACCCCTGGCAAAAATGATCAAATGCATTGTGACCTCCATAGAAAAGTGATGTTTTCAGACAAAAGGTGCACTTTGTTTTGATAATCCTGGGTCAAGTCTTCACTTTGTATCATTGATGCAACTTTCTGACACAGGCTTTGAACATTCACTACATGCATAGTATGCATGTACATATACACCACAAAGGGATGAAGTGTGGCCGAGTCATGTGCATAAAAGTATGTGCGTAAATGCAAATACGAGTCCTTTTCGTGTCCCCGCCACTTCATTTATGCTGCTCTAGCAACACACACGAAAATTTATAACACAACGATAAAATTAATTTTTTTAGCTCAATAATTTTACACGAGCATTCTCAAAAAAGTTGAAGTTTTATACACAAATACTGAAAAGCTCTAACTGTTCAAACAAGTGGATGTTTTTCAACTAAATAACAAACACATCTTTCCGATAATTGCATACTTTTAAAGGCTGACACTGCAAAAACACATTAATTGAAAATGAAAACACCTTCGAAAAACAGATAAAAATCAAAGGAATTAATGGGAAAACTTCCTTTTTCCCCAGCAGCTGTTTATGTTTAACAAAATATTGAAATTCCCTGTTGTTCACATTAAATTTAATCTTGGTGTAAGGGTTGGAAAGACAAAATATTGGCAATCATTACACATCCAACAATAACATTTTGATAAAAAAAATAGAACTTTAAGTAACCGAGGATCTCATTGTCTGGTCATAAAGCAGTGATCAGTATGTGAGTGATATGATGCTACTCTGACAGGCTGTATAACCTACATGTACATGTAAGTCACTGGGTACTTAACATTATGGTACTCCAATTGACGTACCCTTCTGACACTTCACTGACCGTGTTGTATCACCAAAGCCATGTGGTACTCTTCATGTCAGTATGCCAATTGGTATACCCTACTCACACTGCGCTGACCATTCATTTATTTGTTATTTATACTGGGGACACGTTTAGTTGATGAAAACTGTTCTCCCACAGGTCCCAGGTAAAAATGATATAAAGTTTAAAAAGACATTAGAAATTAAGTGTAGACAATCACAAAAATCGTCAAAATAATTATGTGTACAAATCTATTAAGGAAATGTTACATTAAAAATGTATAAAAATTAAAAAAGACAACAGGTTCAAAAGGACTACCAATTGCAGTGTAGAGAAGCAGTCAAAGCCATGTGCATGTGTTGCACCCCAGGTGACTCAGAATGGAATCACCCCAGGGGGCACATTGAATTAAGGACTCCAGAAGTTGACAACTGTAATAAAACAGATCAGGCAAACACTGTGTGAGCTGTGGTGTGGAGTCATATTACTCTCTTAAAGCATGGAGTCAGAATGACTCACAGAACAAAGGCTTCCAACACATGGTTACAGTGTCCTGCCTGCACAGGAATTGTTATGTAACAGCCAGCTCTCTGGCTGTTTCATGTTGCACACCACAGCCAAGCATCAAACAGTAGTTGACAGTACACATACAGTACTTACATTAAAAAATTAAAGGGAGGGGGGCTCCAATAAGCAATGAAAAGCTGTGGCTCTACGGACTCCACACATGTACACTATGTACTCCCCAATTCAGTACGCCAATTGGTATAACCTACATGTACTCACGCTACATGTACATCAACAGGATCACCAAGGCCATGTGTACATGTACTCCCCAATTCACAGTCAAATTATCATTTGATTGGGCTAACCAGATACCATGGAATTGTTCATTAGCATTTGAAATTGCTATAGTGAATGACCACTGTAATTAACACTTGGAACTTGTTTTTATATCAATGATGTATTATGGTGGAATTCATCTAATTCAGCATACTTTGCACGAAGTTCTGTCTTCGTTGCACTATTCAGACAATGCCTTAAGGTTTGATGTCAAAGAAAACCCCCAGTGAATGACCGATTCAACTGATAGTTTATCGGTGTAGGCACGTCTGTTCTTCCCAACTCCTAGGTTTACCTCCATCCATGGCTTCAACCAGGAGCCTTGAAACCAATGGACTGCAATTGTATCCCCACTAGTTTTGATGACCTTACCACTATGCATGTAAGGCCGTTTAAATCATAGGTCATCATAGGTCTATTTTCACATATTACTGCACAATAGTACATTTTCACATTTTAATTCTTACAA